GGGGCGGCCATGTGGGCGCTGCGGGCGCTGTGCCTGGCCGGGCTGGGGGCGGCCATCGGCGGCGGAGCGGCGGACCAGTGCAGCTGGAGGGGCAGGTAGGCACCGGGAACACCGCACCGGGAGCACCGCACCGGGAACAGCGGCCCCGGGGGCGGCGCGCCGGGCGGGCGGGGGTGGCACACGCTGGTCCCCGGATCAGGCAGGTCCATGGGGGAGGGGGAGTCTGCTTTCCCGCCCCCCCACTTCCATCCTCAGGGCTGAACCCCTCCCGTATCCGTAGGGAGGGTACGGATGGGACGCTGGGAACCTGCGCCTGCCTCAGTTTCCTCACCCCTGGGTGCGGCTCTCCCCCGCTTTCAGGGATGCTGGTCCCCCTGCGGGAATCCGCGCCTCTCCGGGACCCCGAGCCCCCCACCCGTGAAAGCCATCCCCGTGGCCGGCGGGACCTCCGGCCCCCGGCCGGGCCCTAAGCATCGCCCGAAGGCGCCGGACTCCGAACAAAGAGCCGGGGCCCGCCACAGGGACTGCCCCACGCGGGGGGCCTGGGGGGACACGGGGGCCACGCAGCCACCAGAGTCCTGTGAGGGACAAAGCAGCCCCCCGACTGCCCCCACTCCTCCCAGGCTGGCGTCCAGGCGTGTCCCCCCCACCCCATCAGTGCCGCGGGAAAGAAGCGGCTCCAGGCATCGTGTGAGAGAGAGGGATCCCAGCATCCCCTGGGGATCCCCAAAGTGGGAACAGGTGACCTCGAGGTCGTGGCCGTTCTGGGGTTGCTTTGGGAGCCCAGACTGGGTGTGAAGGGGGCTGTGCTGCTGCACCCCTTCCCCTTTGCTGGGGAAACACGAGCACCCCAAAACGTTGTGCTTGAACCCCAAGTCCAAGTCATCGAGGGTTTGGTGCTGTTCCTGCCTGTGGCCATCTCGCACACCTCTGTGGAGGGGCTGCCTGGGAGCGCAGGGTGCTGCTGTGCCGGGGGACAGGAGTTGGGGGGTCCCTGTCACCTGGGGGTCCCGCCTGACGAGGTGCTGTGCCCCACAGCGGGCTGTCACAGGAGGCTAGCAGCGTGGAGCAGCTGTCCCTGCACTGTGCCGAGGGCTCGCTGGAGTGGCTGTACCCCACGGGGGCTCTCCGCCTCCGCCTGGCCCCCCGCCTTCCCCCCACCAGCGCCGCCGTCAAGGGCAGGAGCCCCCCGCACGTCACCGCCTGCATCAAACCCACCGGGACCTTCCGGGGGGCTCAGCTCTACCTGGAGAGGGAGGGGGTGCTGGAGCTGCTGCTGCCAGAGGCCCCCCGGCCCCACGCCCGCTGCTTCAGCTGGCTGCCCCAGGAGAAGGTGGCTCTGTTCCTGCAGGCCACCCCGCAGCCCGACATCAGCCGCCGCATCGCCGCCTTCCGCTACGAGCTGCGGGGGGACTGGCTGGCCCGGCCAGCGCTGCCCACCGCCAGCCTCGGCGCCGAAGGTGAGCGACTCACCCTGCCTCAGTTTCCCTGCCCCTGCCGGGTGCCCGCAGGAGTGAGGAGGGGCTGGATTGAGTGTTGTCCCCCGGGTGGTGACAGGCTGTGCTTGGCCTCGCAGGTGCGTGCAGGCCGTGCAATGACACCGAGATCCTGATGGCCATTTGCACTAGTGACTTTGGTGAGTGCAGCCCCCGGGGCTCGGGGGCCGGGGGTGGCCCCGAAAGTGGCACTGGGACAGCTGGCTGGGCTGGGCTGGTCGGGCTGGGCTGGGCTGGCATGGGCTGGGCTGTGCAGAGCACTGCTAGGGATGGGGATGGGGATGGAAATGGAGCTGGGAACAGGGACTGGAATGAGAATGGGAATGGGAGTGGGGATGGGGTTGGGGGTGGGAAATGGGAATGGGATGGAGATGGAAATTGGGATGGAGATGGAAAGGGGGATGGGGATGGGGATGGAGATGGGAACAGGAGTGGGAGAGGGAATGAGCCAAGAATGGAGATGGGGATAAGAATGGGAATGAGAATGCAGGTGGGGACAGGGACTGGGATGGGGATGAGGATAGGAATGCACACGGGGACAATGATGGAGATTGGGGATGGAGACAGGGATAGAGACAAGACTGGGGATGTGGACGGCAGCGGGGATAGGCACAGGGCCATGCTGACACCCCTCCCTGCCTTTCCCCCACAGTCATCCGCGGCAGCATCCGGAGCGTCTCCAACGACGCAGAGCTGCAGGAATCCATCATCGGGGTGAGCGCCACCCGCATCCACCGCCAGAAATTCCCGCTCTTCCAGGCGGGCGGGCGGGCGGGGCGGCCGGTGGGCAGCATCCGCACCCCGCTGCGCTGCGGGGTCAAGCCGGGCCCCGGCACCTTCCTGTTCACGGGGTGGCTGCACTTCGGGGAGGCCTGGCTGAGCTGCGCTCCCCGCTACCGGGACTTCCAGCGCATCTACGAGGGGGCCCAGCGCACGCGCCAGAACCCCTGCGAGTTCCCCGTGGACTGAGCGGCTCCGGGAGCGCAGCCCGGCCCCGCCGGGGGACCGCGGTCCTGCCGCCACCGAGAGCATCCCCGGGGGACACGGGAACGGTGCCCGGAGGGAGCGTGGCACACGGGCCTCGCCACGTAGCCGGGCTGTGGCAGCACCCGCCGGCGGGCTGGGGGTTCTGGGAAAATCCCGCTGGAAGGGAAGGGATTTTCCCAGGGCGTGCTTGTCCAGGGTGCCCAGGGAGCTGCCTGGGTGAGGGGTGCAGCGGCGTGGGGTCGGGGCTCCCAGGGGACCGGGGTGCTGCATGCTCAGGGGATGCTGTGGGCACAGTGGGTCTGGCACCAGGGGGGCAGCTGGACCCCCAGACCCCAGCAGGGCTCGGGGGTGGGTGGCCGTGGTGGCCGGTCCAGGGACACAGTAGGCACAGAAGGGAGTGGAAGGGCCAGGAGATGGATCTGTAAGGTTGGGGGTGGAAGGGAGAGCAGGCAGCGGTGAGCCTGGCCCTGGCACGGGCAGGAGCTGCGGGGCGGATGCCGAGGAAGAGGAGAGAAGCTGAAGGGAGCGAGGGGAGCGGTGAGGTGGGAGGAAGGCTGGTGCGGGGAGAGGAGGTGTCCTTGGCACGGTCAGGGCAGGACCAAAGCGCCGAGCAGGGAGGTGCCACGGGAGCAGGGAGGGGTGACCGTGCCACCCGTCCCCGCCAGCCCTCGGGTGAGCGGGGCAGGCCGTGCCAGCCGCGGGGAATTTTTGACCGTGGGGGTGGGGGGCATCGCATGTGCACTAAAGTTATAACGATACCAAATTTGTGACTTCTTTTTTATAAACTAAGCTGTATTTGTAGCGTGTGCCTCCTGTTTTTAGTAAGCCGAGCAGGACGGTCACCGACAGGCACTGCGGTGTGTGCCACCTGCTCCCCTCTGTGCCAGCTCCAGCTGTGACCCTGCCTCCCACGGGGCTGGAAACAGCCCTGATACTTGGACATCTCTCTCTGTGGAGAGATTTATTGCTGTTTGCACATTCTGCACCCCAGTGATCCCCAGCATGGGTCACTTTGGGGTCCCTTTCCCTGGGTATCCCTGGGTGTGGGGACCAGGGGCGGGTGGCCCCGTGCTGGGTGGGTGACCCTGCTGGTGGAGCCGCTGTCAGGACTGATTCTCGTCAGAGCCACCGGCCACAAGGCCTCATTGTGCCCGATTGTGCCGCGCCAGCATCCCAGCCCTGCCCGCTCCCGCCCCGCCGCTGCCCCCTCCGGCCCCAGCACCGGCTCTGCTCCCCTGGGAATGCTGAGGGGGACGGGACAGGGACAGGGATGGGACGTGGGAATCCTGCATGGGGACGGGGAACAGAACCCTTGGTCAGGGAAGGGACACGGAGTCCCCAGGCAGGGATGGGACATGGGGCACCCAGTTGGAAATGGGGGACTGGACCCCCTCCAGGCATGGGACATGGGAATGGGGCTCAGCACCCCCAGCCAGGGACCTCTCCTCCCCACCAGTGATGCCACAGGGCTCAGCACAGGAAATCTCAGTGCCTGAGCCCCCCCAAACCCCTCGAGCCCCCCAAACTACTCAAGCAAAGCTCCTGCCACATGTCTGCTTGTACTTAACACCTTTCCAATTTTGTTTCAATGACACTTTTTAAAATATCGCCAGCCAGGATGAACTGCTGCTGAGTATTTGGTGCCTCTGCTGACCACAATGTGCTTTTCCTTGCCAAAAAAATTTTCCAAAGAATGCTGTGGGCTTTGGAGCATAATTAAATATAAATATCTATATGTGTGTGTGTGTATAGAATGATCTGGCTGTGATAAGATCCTGGTGGGTTTGATACACAACACATGTTTTCCCTTGAGGAGAGTTTGCTGCTTACTTTATGCTTTACTGCCAATTTTATACTTGGATATTTTGATTTTATCCTTTTTACTGCCCCATTTTGGGGCCGGCCTGGGCTGTGAGGGCTGGCTCTGGCCCTGGGGAGGCTGAAGCTCCACGCTGGGCACTGGAGGATGCCAGCATCCCCCTGGATTTTGGCAGCAAGCAAGAGCCAAGCGAGGCAGGGGGAAGGGGGAAGGAGTGGGAAACCCAGCGGAGGAGGAAAAATGAAGCTGGAAAAGCAATAAATGAGGTGCAGAGGGAATTGTGCTGCCCACGGCATCCTCTGTATGCGCGGGGGTAAATCACGGCTGCTCCGACCCCGCCGCAATCCAGCACATTCCTCCCGGCTAAATGTCGGCGTTTAACGCGCGGGGCATCCGGCACTTTTCTGCCCAGCAGCAAAACCTCTTGTTTTTCTTCCCATCTGTTTATTTGGCCAAAGCAGCTCGGTGTGCTGCTGCGGAAAGGGCTGTTACTCCGCTCGTTTTCTGGCACAGAGGTTTTTGGGCTGTTTTTGGTGCCCTCTGCCCCCTGTCAGGTTGGGTCGCCCGCCCTCGTTTCCCCCGGCTGTCGCTGCCGCAGCGCTGGGACCCGGCCAGGGCACTAACAATTCCCGTGGGATCATCCCACGGGATAACCACGCAGCCCGTGCCTCAGTTTCCCCTCCGTGAGATGGGGCTAACAGCCCTTCCCTGCGGCCCAAAGGAACCAGATGGAATCCCACAGCTCTGGGATCTCTGTCGTTCCAGGACTGGCCATCCCAGCATTTCCCTGAAAGCAGAGTCCTGCCCCGGCCGAGCCAAATTCCTGCCCGGCCTCTTGGCACACAGCAAGGCCACGGAGGGTGAAAACACAATGAGACAAACTCCATCCCGGGGAATATTTCCTCCACAGGATGGAAAATGTGGTGGGAGGCAGCAGGGTGAGGGGAGCGGGGTGGGGACACCGAGTGGAGCTGGGGGGGTCAGGAGGGGCTCGGAGAGGGGTGACCACGGTGAGGGGCTGTGGCAGCACCCGGGGAGGACAGGGCAGGGTGGCCCTGCCTGTGGGTGCCATGGTGCCCACCACGGGGATCATCCAGCCAGACCTGCTCCAAAAGCCCCCCCAGTCATCAGCCTGCCCCACACGGGGTGGGCTTTGGGGAAGCCCTGGAGAGCAGTGCCCCAAAGCAGTCCCCTCGGTGCAGACGTGCCCAGGGACGTGCCTGGGGCTCCTCATTCCGTGGGATCAGCCCCACTCTGGAGCCAGGCATCCACGCAGCCCAGATCGGGAACCTTCTGGGGACTGTGGAGCCCTTCAGTCACGCTGCGGGTGGGCGTCCGCATCGGGACGGCAGAACACGGAGCGGTGGCACTGCCGGGTGTCCCCGGTCCCTGTCCCCATCCCTGTCACACAAAGGGAGTCGCCGTTTCCCGCCATTTCCCCCCTCCAGCCCTTCTCCCCCCTCTCCTGCTCCCTTCGCCCTCCTCCTTCCCGGCTGTCGGATAAAAGCCCGAACGTGTGAATCGCGGGGCACAAAGGGGAGGCACAAAGGCGGCCGGGCCCGCTCAGCCCTCCCTGTGGCCCCCAGCACCGAGTGGGGACCCCCAGGGACCCCCGGGCAGCCTGCCCACCCTGCCGGCAGCACCCCAGAGCTCAGGGGCTGCCGTGGGGCACAGGGGTGGCCCTGAGATCAGGGGATCCCCAGTGGAGTCAGGGTGATGTCTCTGGGGTTCAGGGAGGCCCTATAGGGCCAGGATAAGGTCCTGGGGTTTGAGGATGCCCCATAGGGTTGGATGATGCCCCTGGGATCAGGGGAAACCCCATAAACTCAGAATAAAAACCCTGGGGCTCAGGGGTACCCCTTAGGCTCAGGATGATGCCTCTGGAGTTTAAACTCAGGATGAAGCCCCTGGGGTCCAGGATGAGCACCTTGGGGCCGGAGGAAGCTCTACCCCACAGCCCTTGGCAAGAGGAGAAGCGAAAACCCGATAACTCTGAGGACACCCCCACAACGCTGCCACCCCCTGGGGAGCTGTACCCCCAATCCTGGCATCAGGTCTGCTTCCAGCCCCATCCTCTGACCCGGACAAAGCCAAGGCACCACTATCCCAGCGCGGGGAGGGATGCTGGGGCTGGAGCCGGACCCCGGCCTGCAGCAGGGCCCCCTCGGCCCCTCACCCCCGTCCCCCGCGTCCGGCTGCCGACAGCTGGTGGGAAGCGCTTTCCCAGCACATAGTGACAAATTCCTGGCGGTCAGGGCTGCTTTGCAGCCGCCGCGGCCCCGGCGGGGGAAGCTGCCCTGGAAAGAGGAGGATTAAAAGCTCTTTGGCTCCAATGACACGTCGCAACCGGTCCCCTCGCACGGCCACCTGCTCGTCCCGGCGCTCCGAGATGCTGCGGGCACCCCGGGGCAGGGGCAGGAGGGGACCGGCCACCCCCCTGCTAAATCCCAGGGGCCCGGCAAGGAGGGCTCAGCCCTGCCTGGGTATTGCCTCCTGAATTAATTCGCTCTGCAGCACCGCAGGGGCGCTCGGGCGGCTCCAGGAGCGCTCATCCCCGCGGACCATCCTCCTCCTCCTCTGCAGCCCCCGGCCCCCGGCTTCTCCCGGCTCCGATTTCCCTGGATTTTCTGCTTTAACCAGCTCCACCTGCCAGCAAGAAAGAGCAGAAAGCGGAAAATCGGGGTGATCCCCGTAGCCCCGCTTGGCCTCGCTGGGCCCTTTGGGGCGGCACGGGAGGGAGCAGCCCCGGGATGTGTTTTGGGGGCGGCTTCAGCTCTCCGCTGGAGCCCCACTGCTGCTCCCGGGAACGTGATTAATGGGATCTGGTGTTGTCAGTGCCCTGAGCTGTGTGTCTGGGGGTAGAACACGTGTGTGGGTGTGTGTGCATCCTCATCCCGTTCGGTTCCCACAAATCAGGGGGAGGCGGGAGCAGGAACACTCCTGCCCTTGGCTCGTCCCCAAAGAGGGGCTCCGGGGGGCTGGGGCTGGGCCTGTGCCGGCCCCAGCACTGAGAAGCGGGAATCCCACTTCCAGTTCTGCTTCCCTGCACCCAAAGCCATTCCCAGCACGGGCTGGGGTCTCTTCTCCACTGGGAACGGCCCCAGAGACACCGAGGCACGGGATGAGGTTGGTGGTCCTGCGGCAAGGACATGGGGGCCACCAGAACCCCAGGCTCTCAGGGGACACCCCGATAAGGTGCTGGAGGAGGACCCCCTGCAAACCCCACGAATGCTGACCCACAGGCTGAGGAGAGAGCAGGGGGAGGTGACAGCAGTGG